GTGTGTGTGTGTGTGTGTGTGTGTGTGTGCGCGTGCGTGCGTGTGTGTGTGTTAAATTAATTTAAATATTAAATATTTTAGTTATAAACATTTTTTAACGATTAAATTATCTGCTAAATTATAAAATATTTCTCAATATTTGTCAATTACCTTTCTTCCATGATATTTTCGAAAGTTCCGACACGATTAATTTCTTGTTTGTCACCAGTATTCATTTTAAGACTAGCAATTTCCCTTTGATGTTGCTCAAGTATTCGAGTTATAATGCAATTGTGTTCATCCTTCAGACGAGTTAATTCAGCGGCATGTATTTTTTTGAATTCCTGGATTTCTTGTTTAGCGTTGGATGTAAATTTATCTCGCAGTTCTAATAATTCGACCGGCCAATTATCTTCTTTGTCTGTTTCCACCGATAATAGTACCTACACAATTTTAACAGATTTTATAATAAACATCTTCTAATAGTGTGTGCGTGTGCGTGTGCGTGCGCGTGCGCGCGCGCGTGTGTGTGTGTGTGCATGTGTGTGTGCCTAATAGCCACAAATACATTAGCCACAATTTTTATGGTAACATGAAAAAATTATCTTAGTCAAGAAGATGACCGAAATGATTTAATTAGATTTAATCTATGCTGTTATTTTATGTGTATTTTATTCTGAGCCCAGTTTTTACACGTAATCTGCATCTACCTGAAACTGTTCTTGAAGAGCGTTGACAATGTCCTGTTTAGCTAGCGCAATTTGCTCTTCTAGTTGATGATTATATGCATTACGCAGACTTGATAATTCATCATTTTCCAATGCTTCCCATTCTGTCTGACAATACTACATGCAAACAGGAAGTCACACGGCAATATGTTAGTTACAAATAGGTGTACATTTCAATATAACCGAAACGAAACACAATTAATCTATTTTATTGTTGTTGCACAATAAAAATAAAAATATTAATTACAATAAATGTACGACATTACAGATCACAGAAGATCATGAAGACAGCATTAAGATGAAAAATGTACTACTAATAGTTAATGCATTCTGATCACACCATGCGTTTACAATTTCATACAGGAATTTCTAACACACATTAATAACAAGAATTATGTTGTTGACAAATCAGTATAACAGTTACTGTAAATGGATAATTTTTTCTCACCTGGTGCACAGTAGATACAGTCGATGCATGCTGTAGCTTTGTCTCGATTTCACGAATTTGACATTCATACAACTCTTTCTGTTCTTCGAGCGTTTTTTCATATTCAGCCTTAACATTCTGAATTTCATTCACTTTAAGTTGTAATTCCTGTCGCAACGATTGAATACTGCCCTCATATTCTGTCTCAAGACGTGCTTGATTTTCAGCATCCAGAATCTTGCTTCTCAGAGATTCCTCGATGGCACTAGGTGTCACTGCTCGGGAGTTTGACACGTTCAAACAATCTCCGGCACCACCAAAATACAGATCATCTGTCAGCTCCTCAGTTTCGCTATCGTTGTCGGAAATCCGTTTTGACTGTTGACTGAAGACTTCCTCGGAATATTGTTTTTCCATCTGCAAGCATTTCCTCTCGAAGTATGTCCGTAATTCCTCCATCTCTTTAGCATGGTGTGCTTCAAGTTCAATTCTCAGATCGTTTAAGCTTGTATTACCATCCTTAAGTGATAAAAAATAATGTAAATATTTCAACTATAACATAGTTCTGTCCAACACAGAGTAAAGAATATAGACAAAAATATTCTAGATCAAATAAAAATAAAAATGACTTGCCTTGAAATTCTGCAATAACGAACGCAGTTTGTTGATTTCTTTGGCAGAATTCGCTTTAACAGATTCCAGTTCTGCCTCACGTCGATTCATCATTTCCTCGATTTCCTGACTTATCTTCTCCTTCTCTAGCAACAAATTTTCCAAAGACCTTTGCAGCGAGTCTTCGCTATCCTGCAAAGTGACATTCTTCATCAAGGATTGCGTCTTAGCGACAACTATTTTTTCGCACAGTGCATAATAATGAGATAATTTTAATTTAACTTCGTCCGGCTCTAGAATTTGTTGTATATGCTCCAATAAGTATGTTTCTTCATTCTTCAGATAACTGTTTTTTGTATCTATTAATGTGTCGGCAATAATCGATTCCAAAATTTTTTCCTGAGTTGCTGTGTGTGTATTTTGATTTAATATAATATCATCCAAGCTTTGATTTTTTTTCAAGTATTTAGATGAAATTGTGCTATTCAAGGAGGTATTAATTTTACTGCTATCGCTCAACGCCAGAGTCTGATTCAATTTTTCTTCAAATTCGGCGCACTGTGCCCATGCATAAGCCAAACCATTCGTCAACTGTTGGCACTGCGTTTCCATCTGTTTTGTTTTTTCTGTCATTTCAGTCAAATCTTTCCTATATCTCGCATTCTCTGTCTCTTTCTCCTCCATTAGTAGCTTCAGGCTCTCTATCTCCCGTTGTTGCTCCTCTATTTGCCGAGCTGAATCGCTCTCGAAATTCACCAAAACACTTTTTGAAGAATTCTGAGTGGGAGCATCATTAGACGTTGCATGACTGAATTCTTTCAACAAAACGACTTCTTGTTGAAGTTTGTCACATGTATTTTTCATATCCTTCAGTTGCTTCTCGTACGTTTCCTTCACTATCTCGGTTTCTTCTAGTCTGTTGTTCGCTTTAATCAAGTCTGTCTCAAGAACACGAACTTTCTCGACCAACAGCTGTTCTATATCCATCTTCTCCTCGAGTTTTCGCTTTGTCAGCTGATGCTGAACAACTTCCTCATCAAAAGTCTTATACATAGTTTCTCCTAATTCGCTGACTGTGCTTACACTTGTAGCATCCAACCGAGATAAAGACTTCTCTAAATCTCCAACATATAGTCTACCACTCAGAGTCCTGTCATAAACCTGACTGTTTTCGATAATAGACTGTGCTGTGGAATATCTGCATGATAGATCATCCAGCTTGAATTTTAGCGTATTGTTCTCCTGTTTCAGTGCAGCAGCATTTGACAAAGCCTGCTCCAGTGATCGCTCAATACTTTCCTTAGATTCAAGGATACTCATTGAAGCAATGTGCTTAGATGTCATCTCCTCTAGTTGAATTTTGTGTAATTTGATCTGTTCATTTAACAACTCTTTCTCTTTCTGAAAATGCAGATTTTGCATACGCCGTTCGTTTTCCGCTTCAAATTTTAATTCGTCAAGTTTTACTTTGTACAGGTGAACTTCTGATTGAGCAACTTTCTGTGACTCTGCATGATTTACCAATTCAAGTTTTAACGCCTCGACAGTTTTCTTGTAGTGAGATAATTGTGTTTGAAAAACGGACAGTTCTTTGGCATGCCTACTCTCCAAATCCGGTAATTCCTTGTTTAAACGATCGGCCAACATTTTATTTTCATCCTTTAGTACTTTTATATAATCTTCGTGCTTGGTTTTTATATTCGCAATTTCATCCTCGTTCTTCAAAATTAATTCCTACAAATAAAAAAATTAGTATAGGAATTTTTTTCTTTAATTGCTATAAATAACAAATTATGAATATGTTTTACAACTTTAATAGATATTACGTTAAAATTCGCTAAAAATATTCATAAAGCAATCTCATATACTTACTTTTAATTCTTGTTGATGGCGTATTGCGTTAGCATTTATTACTGTGGTAAATTTATTCAAAATATGCTGCATATCCTGTTTGATTTTATCAATTCGTCCTTCGTACTGTTTCTGTTGCTCCAATGTCTCATCAATATTCAAATTTTTCTCTGCCGCACTAAGGCGAATTTGTTCATTCAGATTATTTATTTGTACTTTGTAATCGCTGATTTCTGCATTTCGTGTTTCTCTCTCCATTTCCAATGTCTGTACGTGTTTACGAATATCCGTCAATTGTGCATTTAATCGACGAATTATCCCTTCTTGATCACTCATTGTTGTTTCCAAAGTTTTAATCTAAAACATTTGGGATAATGTTGGACATTTATGGTAAGGTTATTAATAACTAAAAACATGTAAAAATATGAAGCTTGTCATTCACTTTTTGCTGCAAGTTCATGTTGTCTGTCATAGGATTGTTCAACTGTATGGAATTCAAAGCATTAAGTTGTGCTGTTACAGTATCTCTCGCAGATAATGCTTGCTCCAAAGATGATGTCAAGTGTTCTATTAAGTTGTCACGTTGATTTACTGCCTTTTCAAACTCTTGCAACTATTTTATGAAAAACACAAATTATTTAATGCTAATTATTTTATAACTAAATTTACAAATAAAAATTAAAATGTATACTACGTAAAATATTTAAAAAAAAATTTATTTAACAATAAAATTATATGCTATCTAGACTTCGTAACTAATGTTAAAATAATATCAAAATTATATAAAATAATAATATATGTTCTATAACTTTACATAAAAAATTGTGTTTATGAACAAAGAGATATAACATACTTTTATATGATACAAAGATATAATATCCCTTCCATGTATACTACTGCCCTGGCTCTGCGATGAATTTGGAGAGGACGTTTCTGCTCGTAAGTGATCAATCTCTGCATTTAAAGCCCCGACTATAGCTTCTTTTCCCTGTAACAGTTCTTCCAATTCTGCGACTCGTCCTACCAGTCCTTCCAAATCAGCATCTGCCTCTCCTTCGCTTATACTAACGCTGCTGTGTGTTACATCTCTTGAGGATATGGCTTCAGTTATCTAATACAACAGTAAAGAACAAACATGAAGCAACTCATTTATATAAAAATGTTATAAATCAAATAAACATTCAGAGAGAGAGAGAGAGAGAGAGATATGTGAATTATATATATTTTTCTTACACCAGATTCTTTATGCATTGACTTCTCATTAAGCAACGACTCATCATCAGACTGTTCCACATACTCTATGTTTCCGCTCTTGTCTTTGCTTGATTGTTTTGCTTTATACTTTTCCAACTGTAACAATCAAGACACATTTCAGGTAATTAATTACTGTTAATAATCAAAGACAAAATGTTTATAGTGCAAAAGAAAACTTTCCATAATGTTTCTCCAAAATTAAATTGATAAAAACAGACGAGCAACACGCGAAATGTACAAATAATAATATAAATAAATAATAATAAATAAGATTGCTCCAATTGTTAAACAAGCAGTAAGAGTATATATCGGAAGTGATAAGGATAATAAATAGAAGGAACACTTGCCATTTCTCTGCCGGCTTCTAATGAGCGTTTTCTACGTTCGTCATCATCCTGCGTCGCGCTCATCCTGGCGAAATCCGCGGGACGACGTGCATGGAAGGTGCAAAACTAAGTATTCGTCAGTTACAAGTTCACAGCTTGTCATCAGTTACATTTCAAATTTGATACTCCCGCAATGATCGATCTTGATTGCCAGCTGTCATAAGGTTTTTGATCGTGCCACGGTATTCCTCGCTTTATCAATTGCCAGATCAAGCAATAAAAAAACAAACCTCCGAAGAGTAATCGAAATTAATAAAACGTTCAACGAAAACACAGTCAGAAAAGCGGTTGGTCAGTGGGTCTGAAACTGTCTAAAACGGTCGTGCGTCAGAAGTACCAACTTTTAAGTCGACTTGAGCCAACTTCATTACCGAGGGTGCGATTACATGGAGCGCGGTACGCGGTTCTGCCTAGTTAATCGCGTATCGCCTATTTCTTTTTCCTGATATTACATGGAGCGCGGTTTGCGGCACGGGTTAGTGACAAACTCACATTACTATTGCTATGCACTTTTTAATGGAATTAATTGATTTATGCCTATTTCTACCAATGCAAATTAACTTTAATCTCGGTTCAATTTGTTCTTCATCTTTTTCTAGTTCTAAAAATTAGAAAAAGTTGAACAATAAGTTAAACCGAGATTAAAGTTAATCTGCATTGGTGGAAATGGGCATTAAACGCAATTATTAAGTAAATCTGTTAAAAAAATAAGAGTATCGATAAAGTGTATACATAAAAATAAGTTAATATATTTTAAAAAATTTATTCTAATGTAAAGGTGCTTTTTCATGCGCAGCACGCTGCAGCAGCAATTCGTTACTATTGGTTAAGAATTTTATGTAAGCTAGATGACGCACTTCCGGCACAAAATACATTTTGCCGCAGTTCGTTGAAGTTGAACCGAACGAACAGCAAGCAGCAAGCGGCAAAATCGAGAAAGCGTACAATATGTCCGTCGTTTCATTATGAAAATATTATTTATTGCAATAAATATTAGGAAAATAAACGAAGAATGGCTTCGGATAAGGTACGAATGTTTGTAAATTAGATCATTTTATACTTTACACTTTACTTTTTCAAATTTGTGATAAAGTATAAAATGATCTAATTTACGAACATGTATCCGTACCTTATCCGAAGATTTTGCGCCGGAAGTGCGTCGTCTAGCTTACATAAAATTCTTAACCAATAGTAACGAATTGCTGCTGCAGCGTGCTGCACATGAAAAAGTACCTTAAGTTATCACAATCGCAGAAAGTAAAGTAGCGGAATGATTGTAGAGTTCTGATTGGTCTCGCTGTTTCGTTCCGCTGTAGATTTCCGCTCAATGTGACCCGCCTTAGGGCGGGTTCACACCTTGACGGAAAGCGAAAAAGCAGTAGCCAATCAGGTAGTCGACTTTCTGTTAGTTTTGTACTATTTACTACCAGCACGAGTTTTGATCGGTTAACTGCTCTTCCGCTTTCCGCTTTTCCGTCAAGGTGTGAACCCGGTTTTATAGCGTTTTCTCATGGCTGCACCAGTGCAACACTCAGCTGAACTTTTGCACTAGTTCATCTTTCTTCCTTTTCTCTCCAGAAGAAGGGAAAAGGAAAAAGGATGAACTGGTGCAATCACCCTACACTGGTGCAGCCAAGAGAAAACGCTATTAATGTCCCATGGTGCGTAAGTGGATTAGCGAATCGCCAATCACAGAATCGTTCTGTTAGATTTGCTTGCAAAATTTGTGTAAACAGATCTTTTAGAGCTACTTAGAGCATAGATTTTGGCTACATTTGAGAAAACATACTTCATTTTCAGTGATAACAGCGCCACCTTGGAATGAGGGGGGTACTAAAAGTAAAACCTCAGTTTTGCATGCGGTGAGCTGCGGCAAATGCATATGGTGACCAATCAGGGGGTCTATTCTTGAAAAGAAACGTATACGAAAGTCTAGGGAAATACTACAGTATACGTTACGTTACTTTAGTATTTTCCTAATTTTTCGTATAGTTTCTTTTCAGGAATAGAGCCCCAGGGTATCGATTATGTAACTTTTTCTCTAGGGCGGAAACGTGAGAAGTGAAAATTTTTTGCATGTATGTGTATATGTTCATACATACATTCATAGAAATTTTCACTTTTCACGTTTCCGCTCTAAATAAAAAGCTACATACATGATTGATACCCAGGAGCCAGGCACATGCCGGACTCCTGCCGGATGCGGCATGCGCCTGGCTCCTGATTGGTCACTCATGCAGCTCACCGCATACATGGAGTCTTAGCTTTACATCTTTATTGTTCGCCAACGTTAAACAAAGATGAAATGATCACTGAGTTACACAGTGTCGCTTGTTGAAAAACTTTCAAAATTAATGGCTGCGTTGAGTAGAGAAAATAGCTTTGCAACCGTTATAACATTTTTTAGTATTAGTTCTCACTTTTGGTTCTTGATAGATATAAACGTATAAACAATTATATTATATTGAAGAATTTTACAAGTTGCAAAGCTACTTTCTCTGATGAACGCAGCCTTCGGTATATATAAATTAGTATTGTTCATTAGTTTGTTCACCGAATACAATTCTCCATCTCACAGACACAAATTAATGAGTCTATTTTAATCTTGGAAAGTAGAACATGGTTGCCAGGTCTCCAGATTTCGAGACCAATCTTCAGTTCGCTAGGAAAAATCATCAATTTTTCATTCGAATGTATATTTATAATATTATAACAATAATTCCACTATTTAGGGATTGTAAATTGTGACTGTTGAGACTATCTAGTGATTACTGACACTGTTTATTGGTCGATTTCTTTGGCGATCCTTTTTTTTGGAAACAATCAACCGGCCTCCAATCGAAATAGGAAATCCCCAGCACACGGACCTCTTTTTGAGTTCCACTCATGCAGTGCTCAGAACCTGGCAATCGTGAAATAGAGATGAGAAAAACAGTTCATTTTAATGAATTATGTTCATTCGCGAACTACTCATCTCTAGTGGAGAAGGATTTTTAAATCTGTAAGAAGAAAAAAATAATTGTTTATACAACAAGTTTTGCGTGTAGTCTATAATATAGACGACTTTGGAATCCTTTTAATATAAATTTTCTTGAGAATACTTTAATTACTAAACAAGTTCTTCTTTCATAGAACTTCGTTCGTCAATCCACTATAAGTACTCACAAGAACAACGATGATATATAACTTGGAATTCCTTTTGGCTCTGTTCTTTGGTTTAAAAGTATCGAATTATTCTTTTCGAAAACAATATAAACTCGGTAAGCATCTTCTCGCCGCACATACTCTATCTCTATCCACAAAAAATATGAAATCAAAAGATACCTGCAGTGAGAAATGACAATAAAATCGAATTGACATCGATTCGACATTGATTCCATTGTCATTTCTCACTAGGTAATACTAACAATATCAAATCTTATTGGACGTAAAAGTTTAAACTATAATAAATATCGATGAGAACACATGCCATAACGGTCAAACTGGATCTTGGATGCTTCTAATATATTATAATTTCGTGTGAATTTATATTTTACGTATATAGATTCTTACAAATAATACTAAAGTATTTATTATTTTTAATATATACATATTTCTGCCCCCCCCCCCCCCTTCCTTTTTTATAACATACTTTTTACCTTTAATTAAATACGAATATAATCATGTATATACTTACATTTTTTGTATTTCGTAAAGAAAATCGCGCATAAGAGTCATTTTAAATTGTAGATATATTTAGTATGCAATTTTTTTTAAGTGTCATTGCATTTAGCGACTATGCGCACAGTTAGTCTTTTTCTTGGATGAACGTGTTTAGCACCTTTAACACATCAAAACATTTTTTTATATGTATTATATATATATATATAATAGTATATATGGCCCGTATTCAAAACGTACTTTATCGATAAAAGTGCGCTTTTATCTCTGAAATTCTATAGTATACGTGACGTAAACTATAGCATGTTAGCGCGTTAACATCGTTGTTAGCGCCAAAGACATAAAGAATGGACTGCGCGATCCGTGTGTCAAAATGGTCAACGAAAATGAGAGAGAGGGATCGTGGAAGACGGCCATCTCCCTCTCATTATCTCTTCTATTACAACCATCGAATGGAAAAAGATAGAGATGGCCGTCTTCCACGGACCCTCTCTCTCATTTTCGTCGACACATTTTGATACTACTTATTGTTAGATACGGGATCGCGCAGTCCATTCTCTATGTTTTTGGTTAGCGCGAATACGGGCCTTTGTATATGTATGCATATGACATATGTATAAGGGTGATTCAAAATAAACTTTTGTCCTTGAAATATCATATACATACATTGATCCTGACTTAATTCTAAAGCTGAATCTACATTGGTTGTATCATAGCATCGTAAGCGTCGGTGAGACTTTAAATTGACACATCAGATTGGCTGATGCAATAAATTTGTGATCTGCAACGTCTACGATACGACGAATGTAGATTAGACTTAAGACAATTTTTCCATTACCGAAATTTTGACCGAAGCTTAATTTTCACAAATTAAGATGATATACTTATAGCAAGATGAAGTTAGTGAATTGCGGGATGCGTAGAGAAGGTAGGCAGGGGCGATGCAACTTACTGTCCAATCCGGGCGGAACCTTCGCGTCTGAATGAGATTATCCGATTGTTACACACGATAGCGCGTACACATGCAATCGCATTCTCACACACACACACACACACACACGCACAAGCACGCACGCATGCACGCACAACACATGCACACACACACAAAATAAATTACCTCATATATATTCGAGGACTTCGAATGAAATGTTACGATTTTTTTTCAAAACGAATCAATTATTTCTTAGATAAGAGGTCATTTTCCAAAAAAAAGAGGGAATGTTAGTAATAACAAAAAACCTCTAGCATCACAATTTAATTTTCCACAAATTGGTAACATTGCTGTAATTAGTACAATGGGTAAGGGTTGGATTATACTAGCCGTAATCTGTTAACTTATGGCGTAATCTGTAAAAATTGACCAATCACAGTTGAATGAGAGAGGAATAATCGATTATAATTAGTCAATTTTTACAGATTATAGCATAAGTTAACAGATTACGGCCAGTATAATCCAACCCTAAATCTTGACAATGGCCTGGTTTACATCGTGCACTTGATACGCGTACTAACTGGTTACTTTCTAAATTATCTTAATTTCAACGATATATGTAAATGTATACACAATAAACGTATTTAGTTAAACATTTTGATGCGTATTGTATCAATTTTATACATCATTCTTTAAATACATTGCTGAAATTAAGATAATTTAATAGAAAGTAACTAGTTAGTACGCGTATCAAGTGCACGATGTAAACCAGGCCAATAACGGAAGCAGCTTCGATGACTTTAACATATGTGAAGATCATGACCCTGAGTAACGTCCAACAGGTTTTAGCCGTCGCTCGTCCTTCGTTAAAAAGTTATTAACAAAAAAAGTTTTAAAAATAACGTACTATTTCTGCTATACATATACGATACTAAATACTATTCTACACCCTGTTAATAAGAAACGTTAAACCTTCCACGCGAAGTAATTCTTACCTCCTCTTCCCCCTGCAAAGGAACGCACGACTTCTATATGATTGTACTGTTGCACGTAGGTTTCGACTTTACACGAAACGAGAGCTATTTTACACCAAAAAATGCGTTGGATTAGGTTAGGTTATTTTTAACAGTGTGGAACCCCCCCCCCCCCGCAGGGGGCGGAACCTATTGCATTTATGCATACACTTAACAATGTACAAATGTTACAAACAATAATTCGCTGTTTTAAAAATAATAATGGAGCTCCTCCTGCGAAAGAGATCGCAACTTCCATGTCGCATTATGTTGTAAAGTGTATGCGTGGATATAATAGATTTCGCACCCCTGCGAAGGGGATCCACTACAGTTAAAAATAACCTAACCCCTAACCCAACCCATTTTTTTAGTCTGTGGATAGCTCTCGTTTTGCGTAAAGTCGAACCCAGTGAGAAATGGCTGGAAATGGCAATGGAATCGACGTTGAATTGATATCGATTCGACGTAGATTCCATTTCTCACTAAGAAATCTACGTGCAACAGTACAATTGTAGAAGTCGTTCGCCCCTTTGCAGAGGGGAGAGGAAAGTGAGAGTTATTTCGCGTAGAAAGTTGAATGATTTGGATAGTTTGATGCAATATTTGATAAGCAAAAAAGTTATTCGTGGAAGTTTTCAATAAAAATACAACGTTATTTTTGAAACCTTTTTTAAATAACTTTTTAACGCGCGAAGGACAACCGATGACAAAACCTGTTGGAAGATATTTAGAGTCATGACTTTTTTACAACATATGTCAATTTCAAGATCATCGGAGCTGTTTCCGTTTGTCAAGATTTACCGTAATTTGCACCTATTTACACCGTTTTTCGGTATAAATAGATGCAAACTTTTTGTGTAATAAGTTTTACTATAGTTTGGCTTTAATTACTACGTTTATATATATACACGGGGTTCGATTTACGCTGAAGTTATATAATCGATGTTATGAAAATGTTCAATCACGGTTATATTTCATTCTTCAGAGAAATAGCTATAATTGGCCAGTTTCATAATATCGATGTTATAACTTCGGCGTAAAGCGTGCCGTGTAATAGAGGTCAATAATAGTTTGTTAAAAAAAATTATTTTGTTACACAAGAACAAGAACTTTTTCGCTTACAATTTTTACATGTGTAGCACCAGCAAGCCAAACGATAACCAGAGAGTCATTTCAAACAAAAGACTGTTTTTTTTTTTAAACAAGTTAACACTTTCGGAAAAGGAATCATTTCTGCAAAGAATATATTCATAATATATTCTATTCGCAACTGAGATTCTAATAATTAAAACTTAGCGCCATCTAAACATCCTCTCTTAATCGTTGACTATTTTAATAAATTTAAATATTATAATATTTAACAAAGTTTTCTTTTTAGTTTAAAAATAATCCTTAAAGGATATCTATTCTTAACATTTAACATACGTCATATTCATTATTAAACTTTATAACTATTAGACTTAAAATATTTATTATAATCAAATTTTTTTAATTAATTAATAAATGTACGATTTAAAAAGATTTTAGTATTTGTTAATTAATTAATAAATTCGCATTAAATACGTAACAAGCTTTACTTGCTTAAAATTAAATTTTTTAATTTCTCAAATTTGATATTATCGAGTGATTTTGGAAACACATCTGCTATTTGTTCATCACTAAGACAATACTTCAGTTCTATTATATTTTCGGAATATTTTTCACTTAAAAAATGATATCTAACATCTATGTGTTTATTTCGTTTGTTGCCTATACCATTCTTTATAATTTGTATTCTGTATATAGTACTCTGGTTATCAATATTTAAAATGACTTTAATAAAATTTTCTGTTATTTTCTCAAATAAAACTCTAAGATATATTATTTCTTTTACACATTCCGCTGTCGCAATAAACTCTGTCTCAAAAATTCTCTTCTATATTGTCACTTCTTAGTTTAGATACTTGAAATTACCATTTTGCTTCAGCCATATTAATAAAATTTTTTACTTTATCTGCAACTTCATATTTTTTTCCCAACAAATAGATTACAGTAAAATATGTAAAATTATCAAGAAAAGTAAGAATATAATTTTTCTTAGGTATCCCACGTACTTAGTTCTATCGGTCCACATATATTAATGTGTATAAATTCGACAAGTCTTGTCGTTTTTTTATAGTACAAATTAAAATAAATAAACGGTCTATTTCGAACTAAATAAATTGTTCTTAAATTTTATATTCATTCGAATGTATTGTCTAGAATATTGTCTTAGAATAAAGAAGTTTTTTTCTGAGTCTGAGAAGATCTGTTCTGAGTCCAGACAAAAGACTGTTTTTTTTTTTTTTTTAACAAGATAACAACGCTTCCGGAAATGGATTCCGCAAAGAATGGCGCGTTTAGCGGACTCAACAGTTGAGTGAGCGCTCGCTATTATTGGTGCATTCTTCTAGATTAAAAATTCTGATTGGATGATCTAAAAGAATACACCAATAATAACGAGCGCTCAACTCAACTGTTGAATCCGCTGAACGCGACCATTAGGTGCATCCAGAAGCATGACCGCTTACTAAGCGCTCAATGAGCTTTTTTATCTGATTGGCATATTCCATTAGGTCTAAAATATAAACCAAACAGGTATACAAGAGCTCACTGAGCGCTCAATGAGCGGTCGTGCTTCTGGATGCACCCCATTATATTCATAACCCAGTGAGAAATGACTGTCATTTCTCACTGGGAATAGATTTGCAACTGAAATTCTAGTAATTAAAACTTAGCGCCATCTAAAAATAGATACCTCACGTTTATTCTCCAGCAGTGTGTGCGTGTGTGTGTGCGTGCGTGCGTGCGTGTGTGTGTGCGTGCGTGCGTGCGTGCGTGTGTGTGTGTGTGTGAGAATGTGATTGCATGTATATGTACGCGCTATCGTGTGTACTTGTGTAGCAATCGGCTGATTGCAGCGAGATGCGAAGGTTCCGCCCGGATCGAACAATGAGTTGCATCGCTCCTGCTTACCTTCTCTACGTGTCCTGTAATTCGCTAACTTCATTTTGTTATAATTTGAAAACTAAGCTTTGGACAAAATTTCGGCAAAGGAAAAATTGTCTTAAGCCTAATCTACATTCATCGTATTGCAAACGTCGTAAGTCACAAACTTAAAGCCCATTCTACATTGATCGTATCGTAGGCGTCGCAAGTCACAAATTTGTTGCAACAACCAATCCGATGTGTCAATTTAAAGTCTCACAACGCTTACGATGCTACGATATGACCAATGTAGAACCAGTTTCAGAATTAAGTCAGGAAAATGACATTTCAAGAACAGACGTTTATTTTAAATCACCCTGTATATTCCATATGCACGCATGTGCGCCTGCACACACACATACGCACACATATAATTATATTTAAATTATATGGCATTATATGTATACATTTACATCCAATTATACAATAGATTATACCATAATTGTATAAATAATTTTTAATTTTGTACGTAGTGATTATGAATAATTTTATATAGGGATATATGATATTCTTACTGAGACGATGTTCCTTCACTCCAAGCAGATGATGCTTTTCTCTTGTTTGAGTTCTGAAATGAAATGGATAAAGAAATTGTGTAATATTTACGTTAAAAAATCTGTAATATTTTATTTTATCCAGCTTTGGAAACAAAATACAGTACCAGATACATTAGCATGCATTTTAATCGTGAAAAAGGAATATTTACTTTGTGAAACTGCTACAAAGAAATTGAACAGAAACAAAAACATCAAAAACACTATCAGTAATTACATTGACTCCATCATCCCCTTAAAATTTATAAAGTAAAATGATATAATATTCATAACTAAGATCATAAAGAATAAAATATTTGTTGTAAAATGGAGGTATTCATTGAAAAAATAAGTAAAGGCCAAAAATTTCGATACTTAACTCAACGGCACACTTAGATCATTCGTGTTCATGCCATTTGTAATTAATTTTTATTTCTTAGATATTTGCGTAATTTTTATAACTTTTCCAAACTTCTTTTTTGATATCTACATAGGATAATTTAATAGAGACCTTAAAGAACATGTGTAAATTTGTACAGAATTTTTCGAGCACTAAAATTATCAAAATAAGTGTCATTGCAGAATTAAGAATCATAAAATATAATAAGAACCTAAAAAACAAAAGTTTCAATAAAAATTAAAATTTAAAATAGCACATAAAGATTTAGAAGTCTCTATTTCCAATAGATAACGCATTCAAAAATTTTTTTAAATAAATAAAAGAATTTAAATATTCCATTTTAATATATTTTGTACATAATATGCATGACATAATTCGTATAATTTATTAAAAGAAATATTATAAAACATTAAAATAATAGACATATATATATATATATATAACATTAATACATGTTACAACAATTGCATTGTATAAAACAGCATGCTATTTACAAAAAATAAATTTTCATATACATCGTAGTAATTATCATTGTATTGTGATATACCACCCTACTGAAAAAAATCATATCACAAAATTACATAATAAAATCATGTAATTAAAACGGGTAAATTACGTAACGGATTGTTCCAAATCAGTACGTGAATTTTTTAAAATCACGTAATTTGAAAAGTCACACAATGATATGTTTTTTCTTTCTATTTTATTATTTAATTCTTTAAAATTCGATAACTAAAATCACATATATAACAGATGAAATTATTTTTAATATCATATGATTTTTCAAATTTTAAAAAATATGGTGATTTTAAAAAATTAAGTAATGATTTAGAATTTAGAAACAATTCATTATGTAATTTACTTGTTTTTTAATTACATAATTTCGTTATGTAACTTCGTGATGTGATTTTTTTCAGTATAATAAGGGCATACCAATATCGAATAATTAGAAATTATGCAACAATTACATATATAATTAGAAATCATGCATTTTGAAAATTTTATACCTGTTGTTGCAAATCTTCTTTTTCTTTTGTAGCATCATCTGTCAGCCCATCATTTTGCTCACATAGCTCTTCTATTAATTGCAGTAAATAAGATATATCAGCACCACCGTTAGATAATACGTATTTATATTTATGATTAACTTAAGATTTATTTCCCTTCGCGTACAAAAGGTGACAACAAGCAAAACAAAGATATTAGAAAATTCGATGGAGGCGGAGTCTTCACATCCCGTCATCTAGCGCCAACCAGCCAACAATTGAACTACTGCGAGTAGGTAACATAGGCCGGTATTCATAGTCGGTTCTTATTTCAAGACTGCCTTAAGTAATGTCTTAAGATGCTAAAGCGGCCCTCTGATTGGTTCGTAACTCTTCAAGACTGAAGACGGTCTTGAGTATAAGAACTGACTATGAATACCGGCCATAGGGTGCGTTCCGTTACTCACACGGTGCGCATAATGCATCGTTTATCCTTGTTGCTCATTAAATATTAAACAAGGACAATGGATCATCATGCGCAACATGCGCGATACAGAACGCACCTCTAACCAATAGGTTCTTGTTTCCTTGGGCAACGTTACATCAGCGCTAATTCCGATTTCTCCCGCCAAATAGCGTAGTGACATCGAATTTCCTATTTCCCAATACTGATATACATAAAAAGATAAAAACGTCAATACGACGCTCGAATTTGAACTTAAAAAATTTAGTGGATACAATAATCATCTTGACATTTTTACTTTGCCTTCTATGCCGCCTCCCATGCGTAGGTAAGTCTCTCTTTTTGAATAGATTATATATAGGAACACATAGTTTTTAAATTAAAAAAAGATCACATAAGAAAAATATAAAAAATATAGAATGTTAAAGATATATTTGGAATATACAGAATAACCAATGCAATCTATATATTCAATAGAGGTAAGAAATTTTTTTGAAAATGATATTTATAATGTTATGATCAACTTGGAATTAAAAGTATAGTATGTAAAAAATTAATAAATGTAGCAAACACTTATTTATTATATATTTAAACTATAGATAAACTTATCTGTATTATATATCTAAACTGAACCTAACACCTATCTATAATATCTAACTCTATATCCTAACTTACATAAAAATCTGAGAAAAATTTACCTTTTTCTTGTTTTGAAACAAGCGAAATATCGTTCTTAGCAGGATCATTTTCGTCGCAATCTAGCGTAATAGTTTCGCAATCTAGCGTAATAGTTTCTATTTTGCTTTCTTCCAATGGTTTTACTTTTTTTTGATCATTTTTCATCAAGCCTTTATCTCGATTCTGTGTCAACTCTGAAAATTTTCTAATTTTGCGTACAAAGAAATCCTTATTTGATGATGAAATCATTTCTTTGATATTTAGTAACAAAACAGCGAAGATTTCGTTGGCTTCAACCTTTAAACGTGTCAAAGCAATTCTCAGGTCTATTTTTAATAGTTCATCTGTGTCTTGATCAATTAAACTTAGGAACGTTTCGCTATTGCTATTAATAAGAGACACTATTTTGTCGGATCTTGGAATAAAATGGATTTCCTTAATTGTGTTATCAGTCTTATTTATAGTTTTTCCTTCGAAGAAAGTTGATATTGGCAACTGCTTTTGTAGAATTTTTGTGATTAGAATATCGTTAATTACACCTTCACAAGTCATAATATAATTAACCAATAGTTTGATTACTCTCTGAAGTCTTAAACATGTCTTCCATAAATTATCACTGATAAAAACAATATATACCATATACAAACAATGAAACATTAGTAACACATATTATGGATAATCATATTATATAATAGAGAAAAGCTTAAATTGTTCTTTTTGATATATACATTATAAATCAATTTAAATATTAAATAATTCGGTACTAAACATTTTTATTATACAATTAAGTTGTTAATCTGTACCATATCAATCTCTTGAACCATAAAATAATATTTGAATAGTTGTTAATTACCTGGTTTCAGTATTTTCTGATGCTTTAACATCATTAGTGTCATTCATGTTTGTTTCAAAAAGATTAACTTTCTTATGATGCTGTTCAAGCGTTTGTGTTAACATCTGACTGACTTCATCCTTCAAACGAGCGTTGTATAATCTGTTCATTTCCTCGATTGAATCTTTAACGTTGGAAACATCTTGCTGGTTTGTTACCGACCTATTATTTGTCTTTGTTGATATCAATTCCTAAACAATTACAATAGATTTTACCGTAAACATCTTTGTACTAGTGTTTTAAATCATAAATACATTAACAACAATTCTCACAAGACGAACTCATACATACCTAGTAACATTCAGAATTAATCATGTTCAAGAAAATAATATAAATGGTAAAGGCAAATAAAAGACCTATAAACGAGCAAATTAATAGTTCAGATAATACATTTTAAAGATGGAACGTTTCGACTTGTTATGTTATAAACTTATGTTATATTTCATTATAATATACTATAATAATATACCCTACTGAAAAACATTACATCACAAAATTACATAACGAAATCATGTAATTTCATTATGTAATTTTGTGACGTGATTTTTTTCAGTAAGGTATGTTATAATCAAAATGGTTATTGATTAGATGTTAATTATGCTGTTTTGTTTAGGCTTTATTCTTAACTCTATTTTTACACAAAATCCTACCTGAAGTTGTTCTTGAAGACGTGTTAGTTTGGCATCTTGTTGTTCTAACTTTTGGTTTTCTTGCTTAGCATTACTTGTGAATTCATTTAGCAGTTTTAGTAAATTATTCGACCAATTATTTTCATCATTTGTTTTCATCGATGATGCCTACATAATTGCAACACATTTTACAATAAACATCTTCTCATGCTTAATAAAACAATTAAAATATTATAGTTTATAAAGTTATATAATTATGTATAAGAGATAATACGCAGTTTTGTCACGAAATGGACGTTATATAAATATTATATATAATTATATAATATATTATATGATTATGGACGTATTAAATACATTAAATGTACAATATCACAAACATCACATGATATTCAAAAATTGTGTTAAGATATGAAATGTATTAATAATAATTAATGCCTATATATGTATTAATCACGCGTCTACAATTTCATCTGAATCTTCAGCACACATTAATGACATAAATTGATAAAATAATATAACAGAGTCACGATCATGGTTGTCAGGTATCCAGTTTTCCATCGGAGACTTCAGTTTTTAGGATCAATTTCCGATTCTCTGGTTGATCATCTCCGGTTTTTTGCTCGCATGGGATATTCACTAATTTTATTATCTAGTATTCTGTACGATATTAAGTTATGTGAAAAATAATATGGTAAAAGAATATTTATTTTAATAAGAAAGTCTGTGATTATGTTTACACTTTATGTTGTAATAGTATTGTATAAGAAAATGTCTGTGATTGTGTTAAAAAAGTAACGCGTTTTTGAAAGAACTATAACTTGTTACCAATTTTAAAAAGTAACGCATTATTGTTACTTGAAAAGTAACGATTTGTTACTTTTGTTATAGTGCTAAAGTAAGTTATAAGATCTTAAAATTTCATTAGCTAATAATTAATTTAATATTAAATGTGAAATAAATATTTAAAAAATATAATAAATATTTAAACTTGAAACTCTCTACTGACAAGTTTATATATATATATAGAGTAAGCTTTTCTCTATATTAAACTTATCTTCAGTTTTACTAATGCCGTTTCCAATGTAGATTAACTTTAATCTCAATTTACCTTAGTGTTCATCTTTTTCTAATTTTTAGAATTAGAAAAAGACGAAGAGTAAATTGAACCGAGATTAAAGTTAATCTACATTGATGGAAATAGGCATAATTTTTTTATTTTCTTAATATCGTTATTTTATTGTACTCATTTTTATAAGAATTTAGATGAAACATTGTTTTTGAACGTTAATGTTCTTTGGAGGAAATAAATAGGTGAAGTCTTTATCAATAGACTTATTTCACAATCATATAGGTACATAAAACCGAAACAACGCGTTTTTATGTAACATCGTTTAGCGTCCTACGTCGGAATATTTTTATTCAATCAAATCTAAAGGTAGAATTTCACGAGCTGCTCAAATCGGCCGTTTTAGCGACAAAAAGGATCAAATGGTCTAAATTTACGAATATCGAACATTAATTTAGATCGTGTGATCCTTTTTGTCGCTGAAACGGCCAGTTTAAGTAACTCGTGAAATTATACCTTTATGCATGCGATTAATGTGTGCTATTGATTACGTTTACACGGCACTCTTAATCAGGTTTAGTAACACAATTACTGATGTTACTGATGACAACATACGTTAAGGTCATTGGAGGATGGCTGATTATACTAAATATTTATCAGAAAATGTTTATAATAGCAGATGGATTTATTTCTATGCAAAAGTACACATTACGTTTACCCTCTACAGAAATATCAACGAATTTAGAAGTATATTGAAATTAATGAGCGGTAGTGTATACGATAGGCTTTATAAGATCGATGTTACAATTTCAACATAAATCAAACTGTTTAAACGTAATAATTAGTGAATGTAAATTACTATTATTTATAATACATGTGTTAATTATTCTCGCATAAAGATATTTTGCTTTGTATTGGTAATAATGTTACATATTAGACTCACTTCACTACGGTGTTACTATATCGGTAACTGAAATACAGATAAAATAAATCCTTGCGTATAAACGAACAAAGAATTATAACGACGGATGTCATTAAATTCGATTAAAGGTGCCGTATAAACGTAGTCGCGTTGACGCGCGGTCATTACTCGATTTATTGAATAAGTATAAAAATAATCGGGAACTAATATAAAAAAGATACATGGTACCGTGAACGTCTGAAGCTCTAAACACAATGCGAGGCAACAGCGATTATAGAAACAAGCAATATATAATTGTTGCCTTCCATTGCAATGCCGCGAAAGAAATAAAAATGCCAATCGCGTATAAATTGTAGTTTTGCTTTTTCATCTGTTCTGATCTGTTCTTTCAATGAAAAATCTGAACACTGATTGGTAGGCTATAGATGATAGACAGAATTCCAACTCGTCAGAAATTTATCGCATTATTCCGTATTCTTATGGTATGCATTCCCATATGTTGGATTCTTCTGTTCCTATTACTGGCTACGTTTACACCGTGCGCTTAGTCCGCAATCTATACGATAGGTGTCTTTGTTTAACCTACAGGATAAACAAGGACATCTATTGTTTAGGCCGCGGCCTAAATGCACGGTGTAAATGTAGCCACTGTCGCTGTCGTTATTCTCTCGCATTGTATCTCGGGCTTGAGTAATGTCGGAATCGGAAAGTCACCTAGGAGATTTGAAGAAAAACTAAAGTAACGATAATAGTAACGACTAAATTCGTTACTATAAAAATGTAACGACGTTATTGTTACCGTTACAGACAGAAAGAAGTAACGAAAACGGCAAGAGCGTTACAAGTAACGTGTTACTTTCCAACCCTGATTTACTCTATGTTGGTTTAATAATAACAAAAAAATGTGCAACAATGGTCATAATGTACAAAAAAAGCCCTGTACGTTTTTTGAAAAGCATTGGCCGTCTCCGGTCGAAACAACAAATCTCCATCGTACTAATAAACCTGGATAATGCTCAGTAAATTTATTCTATGACTTTTTATCGATGATCTTACTAGTTAGGAATGCCATTGCGCTGAAATTTTACATGGTGAAAAAACTGCGCAACGTGATAGTATAACGATATCGAATTGTTAAAAGTTACAGAATAGACGTACAGAAGGCTTATTACGGTTTTCGAATTGGGTGAAAATGACGAAAGTAAGAAACTCACCCAATTATGGTTTATCTGTTTCGTTTGGTGTGATTTGATTTCGTGAAAATGTGAGATTACTATACCGGATACTAGTTATTACTAGTTATACTAGTACTAGTTATTTCACATTTTCACTTGACAATTCCATATTTGGGTGATATATTGGGACAAAGTCACGTGAAATGAAAATATGGTTAAATTCACCGAAAAACCGCAATAAACCTCCAGGATCTGACAATCGTGGTCATAATAAATGAATAAAGTTTTCCTCACCTGGTGCATAGTGGATATGGGTACATTCAATTCATTCTCTAGCTTTGTTTTCATATCATGAATTTGACACTCGTACAATTCCTTCTGCTCTTCGAGCATTTTGTCATAATTAGTCTTAACATCCTGAATTTTTTTTACATTGAGTTCTAAATTTTGTTGCAAGGCTTGGATGCTAACCTCATGTTCTGATTTTTTTGCCGTAATATCGTGTATTTGACACTGGTATCGCTCTTTTTGTTTTGTAACCATTTCCTCGTAATAAGTCTTGATATTCTGAATTTCTTTCACTTTTAATTCTATTTCCTGTTGTAATACTTTAGTATTATCCGCATATTTTGTTTTCTTTGCCTCAATATCGCGAATTTGATACTCGTAGAATTCTTTTTGTTCGTTGAGCATTTTTTTATTATCAGCCTTGGTATTCTGAATTTCTTTCACTTTTAATTCTATTTCCTGTTGCAATACTTGAGCGTTATCCGCATATTTTGTTTTCTTTGCCTCAATATCGCGAATTTGATCCTCATAGAATTCTTTCTGTTCGTTGAGCATTTTCTTATAATCAGCCTTGATATTCTGAATTTCTTTCACTTTTAATTCTATTTCCTGTTGCAATACTTGAGTGTTATCCGCATATTTTGTTTTTTTTGCCTCAATATCACGAATTTGATCCTCGTAGAATTCTTTCTGCTCGTTGAGCATTTTCTTATAATCAGTTTTGACATTCTGAATTTCTTTCACTTTTAATTCTATTTCCTGTTGCAATACTTGAATGTTATCTGCATATTTTGTTTTCTTTGCCTCAATATTGCAAATTTGATGATCGTAGAATTCTTTCTGCTCGTTGAGCATTGTCTCGTAATTCTGAATTTCTTTCACTTTGAGTTCTAATTTTTGTTGCAAAGCTTGGATGTTAACTTCATGTTCTGTTCTTTTAACCTTGCTATCGTACATTTTATTCTCGTGCCATTCTTTCTGTCTGTTAAGCTTTTTCTTGTAATAAACCTTCAAATTTTGAACTTCTTCCACTTTTAGTTCGAATTTCCGTTGCAGTTTTCGGATGCTATCCTCATGTTTTATTTTAAGGTTTACTTGCTTTTCAACATCTGAAATCTTATTTTTCAAGTGTTCATTAAAGGCATCTAATGTTGTATGTCGGTATTCTTTCAACGAATCGACTGTCTCTGCTAGATATTTGTACTTATTTTTTGTATCCATCAGTTGTTCCTCATGTGTTTTCTTCAAGATATCGGCTTCTTTCAGTTTATAATTTGCTTCCATCCATTTTGATTCTAAATTGTGAAATTCCTGGAGTAATGCATGTTCTTTCTTGATCTTTTCATCGAGCTTTTTCTTCGTCTCCTGGTGCTGAGCAATTTCCTCTTCCAACTTCAAATGTTCGAATTTTCTCGACGAACTTGCCTCTTTTATCGACTCTTCGTACATATTTTTCATGTAATTCAGTTGTTCCTTATACATTGTCTTTTCGCTATCAATGTCTCTTAGTTTCATGTTTACTTTGTTCAAATCTGAATCAAGTAAAAAAACTTTTTGCTGTTCTACCTTTATTTGTTCGAAGTATCGCTCTAGCTGATCCTCGTAGGAGGTATACAAGGTTTCCCCCCCGTATCGAACGATCGCATTCGTAGTATTTGACTGAACTGAGGATTGCTCGAAATCTTCATCTTCTAATCTATTGCTCAGAGTTCTTTCATATATCTGTCTGTTTTCAACAGCTGACTGTGCCACAGTATATTTGCACGACATATCATGCAATTGGATTTTTAGCGAGTTATTTTCTTCCTTCAATGATTGTTCGATATTCTTTCCAGATTCCAAAATTTTCATTAACTCGTTGTACTTTGACGTTATTTGCTCCAGCTGAAGTTGGTACGACCTGATCTGCTCATCTAATAACGCTTTTTCTTTCTGGAAATGTAGACTTTTCTTATGCTGTTCGTTTTGTCCTTCAAGTTTTAATTCATCAAATTTTGTTTTAATGTTTTGGCCTATATTTGACTCAACAGTATTTTGCAACTCTGTATAATTTATCAATTTTTGCTTTAACGTTTCGGTAGTTTGTTCGTAATGATCTAACTTTATCCGAAAGGCGGACAATTCCTTGTCATGCCTATTATCCAAGTCTTGCTGCACGTCCTGTTTGATTTTATTAATTCTTGCTTCATGTTGTTTATGCTGGGCACGAATCTCATCGATATTAAAATTCTTTTCCGTGGCGATAAGGTGATTTTCTTCATTTAGATTACTCAGCTGCACTTTGTAATCATTTATTTCTGCGTTTTGTGTTTTTTTCTCCGTCTCCAATGTCTGTACATGTATACGAATATTTGTCAACTGCGTGTCTAAGCGACGAATTATCTCTTCCTGATGGTTTATCGTTGTTTTCAAAACTTTAATCTAAAATATTCGGGACATAATCGGGAGTGTTAGGTATTTATAGTAAGGTTACAATGTCTCTTGCAGATAAAATTTGTTCTAAAGATGATGTCAAGTGCTCTACCAGATTGTCGCATCGATTTGCTGCCTTTTCAGGCTTCTAAAACTAATTATGATAAACAAGAACTATGACAGGATTGACAGAAAAAGTTCAGTGGGTGGAAAAAGCCAGAGTAAATTCCGGATTTTACTGAACCGGAGTTTATTCACCAGAATGAACTGATAAAAACTACAAAATTGATTAATATATAATATTACAACATGTTTACATATTTTATATTATATATAATATAATATATTGTACATAGAATATTTTAATTTATTATGCGCGCGCAGGCGTTTTCAGAAATAACTGCACGGACTATCCATTTATGGATACAATCAGATCCAGAAAAACAAATAAATGCAAACAAACACAAATATAGAAAAATGAAAACTAAAAAACTTGTTTCACTAAATAAAAATAATCGAAAGTATTGACGCTCATTAAAATAATCGTATATGATATAAAATATATGCATTGTATCACGAAAAAACAGTATTAACGTTTATTAAAATATTTGCATATATCACTTACAATATACATTGCACTATAAAAAAATTTTACCAATTGAGATCTGGTTCGCATTTACCATTTAATAACTTAAATTGGAAAACTCTTTCAATTGATGCTGAACTCGCTGGACAGTCATATAAGTGAGTGACAAAATTAATAAAATCTGTAGAGAAATTACTAATTTCTCTGAAGCGCGAGATGACTGTGTATCTTTATGCGAATCTTTATCGAGTTTTATTGATTATTTCATCAATAAACTGAATGAGCATAATTATTTAGCTTTTTATTTGCTCTTTTACACATAAATTCTTACGCACAGAATAGTAATCAAGACTATGGAGAACCTCAGGCTGCCTCGAAGGCTGCCTGTAAATTAGGATATCGATAATTTTGCTTATTTGATTATTTTTAATAGAAGAGACTAGTTTTTTCCGGTTTTTGTCATTGGCATTGACTCTATCCAAAAATGTGGAATTTTACCAACCATGAAATACGAACCAATACGATAATAAATTTTTTAACAAGGACATATTAAAAACAAACAGAGCTGCGAAATAAATACATTTAATAACAAATTTTTAATTTAAAAAAAAAACAAATGTTTCTACCTCACACGAGATCATTTTCAATGTCATTACAACGTCGGAAAAAGTTAAAATTATAATTCATACTAAAGAAAGAGGTTACTTGTAACTTGATGTACATGCAGCTAATTCTTGTGATATTTTTTCAAGAATAGTAATTTAGTATCAAGTTTCTCTATTATTATGATTGTAGCGCAGTAGATTATGGTTAGTATTGTTGTAATGATGATATATGCATCGCGTATTTTGCATCAACTTTTTTTTAAAAATCAAATGTGTGGATCATTGGACATGACTGTTAAAAATATTAAAGGCTTAGTCTTTACATATCAAGTATTAAGATATGTGTTCCATAAAATACAATGGTATTCAGAACACGTTTTTATTGATAAAAGCGCACTTTTATCTCTGAAATTATATGTAACGTAAACTGTAATATGTTACAGCGCTAATATCGTTGTAAGCGCGTTCTGGTCACGAGTCAATATGTATAAGAACAAAACATAAATTTAAGAAAGCTTGGTAAATTTATAAAAATGAATATGATAGAGAAGACAATTTTATTTGTATCTGGAGACACGGTAGTGTCTCGGCGCTAAGCCAAGCGCACGACACTGCCGTGCTTCCTTTACGCGATATATAGTTATCTAAATATGTATTGCATACCATCTTCGCTTATTGTAATTGTAGATGTAATAAAATGAGCTATTTTATCTTAGAGTGGCACGTTATAAATGATGGTTGTTTTAAGAGTAATAATTCGAGACGTACAATAAACTAAAATTATAGAAGAGGAAGGTAGGAAGAGGGATTACATTAGGAAAGGGAGAACATTAGGAAAAGAGAAAAAGGACTAATGAGAGTAATAGTTCTAGTGGAAAAATAGGTATTGTGAAGGGATTCCATTCTCAATGTCATTCTGTTCTAAAACTTTTAAAATTTCATTAAAGAAAAAACAAAATACACTATAATGCCAATTATCTTGCAGAAATATATGCAAATAAAAATACCAAGTGTAAGCTACATAAAATCTCTTGTATTTCGATGTTAATTTTTCTGATAATTCTACAGGTCAGAAAAAAAATTCCGTGTTCGGTGATTTTTTCGAATAGGCTTTAATTTTCGAGTTTTTATATTTTGAAAATCAGCCGTGCTTCGGGTGGCGTAGATCAGCCGTTCCATTGATATACAAGCAGTACGATTGGCTCAGATGGTTATACTCTGTTCAACGAGAGAATGACCTCAGATCGGCTGAAAACTCGTGCAGATCTTTGCCCGTTTTTCATAGCGTTGTATTGCAGCTTGCTAATGCCCCGTATCTCTCTCAAAAGATATTATCATACAATTAAATTACTCTTTATTTATTTACTAGTATTTCATTATAATTATTCCGAAAATAATATCATTAAACAGTTAATTATTCTGCCAATTCATAAATTCTACACAATAAAATGGAAAATTTGATATCAAAATGTCGTTACGTATATGGTAATGAATGTGTAACCCCACTTCACGTATTATATCACACCTTCCATCAGTATTACCAATCTGAGCCGCGCGCAACGCACGCATGAAAAAGCCGAGCGACGTACGTGTGCGCTCGGCCTTTCGGCTTTTCGCACACGTATGTCGTTCGACTCGTGTGCATGCGTTGCGCGTCTCAGATCTGGTAACACTGCCTCCCATGCGCAAAACGAGATCATTTTCTCGTTGAATGGTGCTCACGTTTATAGGTGCTCGCGTTGGAAATCAAAGGATGCGAGTTCGAGACGTAGATAGTGCAGTAAAGAAACTGAAGTGCGCGATATCCACAGAACAACATATGAATGGCCGACAATTTCGGGAGCTCGCAAATAACCGGCTCGTGTAAACTTGGGACATAGGCTACGTTTGCACTTATGCGCTTATTATTAGTCCGCAACCTATACAATATATGTATTTGATTAACTTACAAGATAAACAAGGACACTTATTGTACAGGTCGTTGTATAAGCGCAAATTTTTAAAATTTAAAAACTCGAAAACTGAAGCCTATTCGAGAAAATCACTGAACACAGAAATTATTTTCTGGTCTATAGAGTTACCAAAAAAATTGACATCAAAATACAAAGTACCATTTCAGGAGTTTCCCTTGTTAGTGATAATACAATTATAATCTATCTGGACTAACACTGAAGTAAAATTGTAACTGTCGTTATTACTGAAAGCAAAAGCTCATTCCAAATTTATTAAATGTATTTAAAAATGTATCAAAATTTTATTGCGATGTAAGTTTACGTTTTACAACTTTTAACAGAAAAAAATGTAAAAATACAAACAAAAAATAACTCTTGGTAAACACTGACAATAACGGAAGCAGCTCCGATGATCTTGACCTTGACGTATGTTGTCAAGGTCATAACCCTGAATAACCTCCAACAGGTTTTAGCCGTCGCTCGTCCTTCATTAAAAAGTTATTTAAAAAAAAGTTTCAAAAATAATGTTGTATTTTTATTGAAAACTTCCACGAATAACTTTTTTGCTTGTATCAAATATTGCATAAAACTATTCAAATCATTCAACTTTCCACGCGGAACAACTCTCACTTCCCCCTCCCCCCTACAAAGGGTCGAACGACTTCTACAATTATACTGTCGCACGTGGATTTCGACTTTACGCGAAACGAGAGCTATGTCACATCCACGTGCAACAATACAATCATAAAAGTCGTGCGCCGCTTTGCAGGGGGGAGAGGAGATGAGAGTTACTTTGCGTGGAAGGTTTAACGTTTCTAAACAGGGGAGGTGTAGAATAATACTTAATATAGTATATGTATAGCAGAAATAGTACGTTATTTTTGAAACTTTTTTTGTAAATAACACTTTAATGAAGGACGAGCGACGGCTAAGATCTGTTGGAGGTTATTCAGGGTCATGACCTTGACAACATATGTCAAGATCAAGGTTATCGGAGCTGCTTCTGTTATTGTTAAAGTTTACCCAACTCTCGAGAATGTCAAATAGTAGAATAAACTAGTGAAAGACTAATCAGAGTTTTTGCTTTGTAATTGGTGCAAAAATAAATTTATATTATTTTTAACACATTATTTATATTATATTATTTTGTTAACAACTAGTTGGTAAATCAAGTAACAACAAATATTCAGTAAATCCATAGGAGAGAGTGGTCTAAATCGGACCTATTTGCAGTTTTTGTTCTCTATAAGGCGTAAATAAAATCCGATCATAAAACCAATGGTGCCGTTTGAAAGATCATTTAATTTCCTTCATTTTTGCTTGAGACTATTTTGACGTATCTCTTTTGTCGAACTATAATGGAAAATGTAAAAATGCATTTTCCGTTCGATTTGGAACTCATAGTATTGAGTAAAAGCGAGCAATTTAAGACTCAAAGATAAAAATACAGTTTGTATATTATTAGAATTAAAATCATTAAAAATTCCATCAATTTGAGTCTGATGACACACATGATATTTTATTAATTTAATGTTTCTTACACCAGATCTGGTCGGTTGATCACCAGTACTACAACCAGATTGTGACGAACCTTCTTTCTTCGATGAATTAGCTGGCTTATACGTTTTTTGTATACATAGATCCGATTTGGACACGGATTCTTTCGAACGATTGGAACAAATTTTACAATAAATCGCAAAAGTAATCATAAAACTTGATATTTTTGAATTCTACACTCTTTAATTATCTTAAATCAATTACCGTTCAAATTTTTAACATCTTTTAAATAATGATTTACAAGAATTTTCTTTTTTAAAAAGAAAAAAAAACATAATAAATACATTATAAATGTATTATAAATGTATTATAATTATTAATACATTTTAAAAACATTGTTTATTTTACATTATAAATAGCAAAATAGCACATAAATCTGCTTAACCGTATTTATTTAAATTAAAAAGGTCCGATTTAGGACATTTTCCCCTATAATTTTATATTATATTATATTTTTTCTTAAATTATTTAATATTTGAGATATTAATATTTGAGAGTTAATATATGACTTCCATGGCTGATGTGACGACAATTCTCAACAGTATTCCTCTGGAACACTTCGAGAGAGCGTTCCAGAGCATGTATGAAAGATCTATTTTGTGTGTAGAGAGGGAAGGGATGTATGTTGAAAATTAAATAATTAAAATAGTTTTCTTCAATACTTTAGTATATCTTTTCTCAGTGTAATCCCGGAACTTTTTGAACGCATTGTATATTTTGGCATCAATTGCCATACAAAAACTTTCATTTAGCCTTTCATTAATTTGTTCTCCTATAAAAAGTATGTTTATAAATAAAAAAAAAAGCAGCATACCTTCAGCATAATCTTTATATTTTTATTCCGGTTCTGTGATGAGTTTGAGAAGGGTGTCTCTTCTTGTAAATAATCAATCTCTGCATTAGAGGGCCCAGCTACAGCTTCTTTTTCCTTTCTTAATTTGTCGAACTTTTTGTCTGTTATATCCTTTAAGGATGTGCCTTCAGTTATCTAATACAGCAACAGAAGAACGAACACGACTCAATTAATATATAAACGCTGCAAATCAAGTATACATTCAGGCAAGTTATTTTCTTTCTCTTACTACCTTAGATTTCTGCTGTCTGGTCATCCTATCAAACAATGACTCATTGTCAGATAATATGTCATTCTTCTCCTCCATAGGCTTCTCCACATACTTTATCAATGGTTTTCTTCCTCTTTTTGATGGCTGTAACAAGATACAATTGCACATTTTAAGAAATAGGTCATTATTAATAACAAAAAACGAAATGTTATTCCTAATGCAAAAAAGAAATTTCTATTGTGTTTCTTCAAAATTTTAGTGACTAAATGCATACGGACAATGCATAGAACGCAAAAACAATAATATAAAAAAACAAGGTTTTGCTTTAATGCGACGCTGAAACTATGGCCCGCCGCAGCCAGCCGCTGATAATAGTCGAATACGAGCGTAGGCCTCTACGGCGTACTCGGCTCGCGACGGGAATTTTTATTCTCGTGTACGAGAATTGTTTAAAATGTTACAAATATTATTTACCGCACTCCAAACATAAAGTATGGAGTGAGTAATATAAAATAATTATATTACAAAATTATAAGTAATGTTTTTATTTTAAGCGTGATTTCTCGTTAAAAGTACTAACACGCGGTACTTTGGCACCTCATAAAGGAGCTCGGAAGAATTTTTTCCAATAGAGGAGATCACGCACAATCGATCAGTATCGATTAGAAAAAAAGGACGGCTCTTTATCATTTTTTAAAACGATTTTTTAATGTACTGAAAATTGACGGAAAGATTCTGTTTAAAAAAATTCAAAGTGACTTTGCCCTGATCATGACAAGTAGTGAGGAAGTAACGTGCTCGATCGATCCGAATTGGTATGTCCATCGGCGGAAAATCCGGACTCTATTAATTACATATATA